AAATGGTGCTGGGAAAACTGGATATTCACAGGCAGAAGAATGAAATTAGACCCTTATCGCACACCATATACAAAAGTTAACTCAAAATGAATTCAAGACTTAAAACTAAAACCTAAACCATAAAACTACTAAAAGAAAACACAGGGGGAAAGCTTCTTGACACTGGTCTAGGCAATGTCTTTTCTTTTTTTGGGTAAGACACTGAAAGCGCAGAAACAAAAATAGAAATTGACAAATGGGATTTCATCAAACTAAGATGCTTCTTCAAAGAAAGGAAACAATCAATAGAGTCAAAGGGAACCTATGGAATGGGAGAATATATTTGCAAAGCACATATCTCATAAAAAGTTAACATCCAAAATAAATGAACTCTCCCATCCAAGAACTAACCAGGCCTGACCTTGCTTAGCTTCCGAGATCAGACAAGATCGGGTGCGTTCAGGGTGGTATGGCCATAGACCAAAATAAATGAACTCATACCATTCAATAGCAGTAAACTGAAATAGCCCAATTAAAAATGAACAAAGGATCTGAAGAAACATTTTTCAAACGAAAACATGTAAACGGTCAATAGGCATATAAAAAGCCAACAGACATATGCTCAACTTCATTAATCATCTGGGAAATGCAAATGCAAACAACAGTGAGTTATCACCTCACACCTATTATGGTGGCTATTATTAGAAAAACAAAGGATGAGCTGTATTGGAGAAAATGTGGAGAAAAGAGATTCCCTGTACACTATTACTGGGAATATAAAACGGTATAGCCAGCATGAAAAATAGTATAAAGTTTCATAAAAAAATTTAAACATATTGAGAGGAAGATGGTGATGAGGTAGGTGGGAACTGAGCCCACTTCCTCTTTCACCCAACTGGGACACTTAGCTGATCTACTGAGGAACAGAGTGAACAGGCAACAGAATCCCAGCTGATATGAAGTTTGGAAGCTCAAGTGTGCAGAGGACATTTATAAATAGGCAGTAAGGAGATTTGTCAGGTTGATAGAAGTGTCTCTGAGCTCTGCATGAGAAACTGCTGCTGCCACGGCACCTCTGAAGGAGACCTGGGTCAGTGATTGTGTCTTGGTGGCTCCCTCTCTTCTTAGAGTGGTGAGTTTATAGACACAAGCCAGGAGAGACCTGGACACTTAAAGTCGCTGGGAGGATAGACGCAATAAGAGACACTCAGCCAGCAGTGTACCCCACCTGGGATAGTGGTCACCAATTGGGAAATTACCAGAGAAATTGGGGCCCTGGGTGACACCTGGAGATGGGAGAAGAGATGGGCTGTGACCCAGATAGTCTCTGGACTGGTCAGAGAGTTGGTATCTGTGGAAAGCCGGGCACTTGTTAAGAATGGCCTGCTGAAAAACAAGAGGAATTCACTCAAAAAAGGCTCTCAGACACTGTGCAAGGACCACCCCTATGCAGCAGCCAGGCCAGTGAAGAGGGAGGAGGGACATGATTTGCTCCCACTAAGTGAACCTCACAGACTAATCAAGGGCTGCACAACAAGGTGGACCAGAGACACCAGCATGGCAAATATGCACAGTGGAGAGTGTAGGCTCTGCAATGCTATGAGGGCATGGAATGGAAACTGGCCACCTATGAAAATTATAGCCCAGACTGAGCCCCGATCCTTACTGAACCACAAGAAAGAAGAAAGATGGAGCCCAGCTCCTCTCTGCCTGCAGTACCCAGGAAAACCAGCAAAACCCGCTGGGCAGGTTTAAAGTCAGCACGGGGTTTTTTTTTCCACAAGCGTAAGACAATAAAATTCTGACCAAGATGGAGGTATTGTTAGATACACTGTGCCTCCTTACACAGCCAAAAGAAGGACAACAACAAATTTAAGAACAAGAAACAAGCAGAACTGACAGAAAATCGAGCTGTATGGAAGCCCGACAGCCAAGGAGTTAGAAGAAACATTCACTCAGACTGATAGGAGGATCAGAGATGGGCAGCCAGCAGAGAGAACCTGAGGCAAGGTGGTGGCTGGCAGATCCATCAGTGCCACATCCATGTGCAGATAAAACAAGAGGAACAACTGGGGAGTGAGACAGACTGCCCAACCCAGGGTTCTAATGCAGGCAAATAAAGCTCAAAACCTGACTGAAAAAAAACCTGTGGGGGTTGAGGCACCATGAGAAGCTCCCAGCCTCACAGGAGAGTTTGTCAGAGAGACCCACAGGGACCTACAACATACACAAACCCACAAACCCGGGAATCAGCACCAGAAAGGTCCAGTTTGTTTGTGGGTAGTGGAGGAACTCATTGAAAGCTGGCAGAGAGCGAAGCCAAGTGACATTTTTCCCTCTCTGAATCCTGCCCCACATATAGCACCACAACGCAGCATCTAGTTTCCCCGCCCTGGCAAATACCTAAGGCTCCATCCCTTACTACATAACAGTTGTGCTGAGACAAAAAAAATATGGCCCAAATGAAAGAACAGATCAAAGCTCTAGAAAAAATACAACTGAATGATGAAGACATAGCCAACCTATCAGATGTATAGTTCAAAACACGGGTAATCAGGATGCTCACAGAACTGGTTGAGTATGGTTGCAAAATACAGGAAAAAGTGAAATATATAATACAATACAAAGTGAAATTAAAAAAAAAATATATATATATATACAAGGAACCAACAGTGAAGCGTGCTTGACAGTATATTTAATGGCAATTGTTGTATCTGTATTTTCTGCTTGGTATGATTGTCAGCTCAGAGGAGATGCACAGCTTTATTGCATGCTGGAAGAAGGATCCAGATAAGCAATAGTCTCATGGCTCTCTGCTGAGAGAATTTCTACAAGAGACAAGGATATCACTCTTTGGGACCCCTTGAAATAAATCCCTATCTTTTGAGGGATAGCTTACTGAAGCACTGTCGTTACCTTAGTTCCAAAGAACCTGTGGAGTACCAGCAACAGAGAAAAATATACTTAGGTTGCATACCAAGGTGTGATTCCAAGGGACTTTTCCTACTTAATCGTGTGATCATTAGCAAACACAGAGGTTCTATCTCTGTAAATAGAACCTCCACACACCCAGTCACCCAAAACAAAAGTATGAGAGTAATCAGTGTTCCCTCAATCATTAATACACTTCCTTCTCTCCACATCCACTCTCCACATCTTAGCTAGGCTCTCATCATTTTTGGTGTGGACTCTTACGTGGTCTTCCCCCTTCCATTCTTGCATTTAAATGCTTCCATTACCAACCACTGCAATTAATATGCCCTAGCAATGCTGGACTTCTGTCAGTTATTGGAACAAAGCAAGCTTATTCCCATCTCATGTCTTTTGTACTCTGCCTAGATAAGAATAACAATTTCCTCAAGCTTTTGTCATAGTTGGCTCCTTCTCATATTGACTATCTTATTCAATATAAGAGCCTTTTTAAGATACTGACTTGAGTAATTTTTAAAAAACACTTTTAGACAAGTAGGGAAATTTGATATACAGAATTTTTAGATTCCTTTCCTTGAATACTTTAAATATCTCCTGCCACTCCCTTCATGCTTATTTTAAATGTCTTTGCCTTTTAAAGATACATTTTTATTTATCTATGACAAAGATAATATGATGCCTGAAATTTGCTTCAAATTAATAGTGTGGAGTGGGGGGGGTGGGTAATGGTGTAGAAGAAACAAATTGGCCATATACATATAGTAAAATAATTGTTGAAGTTGGGTGAGGGATACATGAAAGTTCAGTAAACTATTCTACCTTTGCCTATTGAAAATTCAGTTTTAAATATATATATATATATATATATATATATATATATATATATATATATATATATTTAAACCTGAACACGTATCTATCTATTATCTATCTATCTATCTATCTATCTATCTATCTATCTATCTATCTATGGTCTGGATCACTACAGTAGTAGCTTCTTAAGTGTTCTTCCCCTTTCTACTCTTTCACCTCCATGTTTCTACCACCTATCACTGCATGTAACATGTAGTAGGTATTTTAGACTTCTGTCAGTTATTAGAACAAGGCAAGCTTATTTCCATCTTACAGCTTCAATTATACATATATATTCAGTAGAATAAGACTCCACCCAACAATCCAACATGAAGGAGAATCAAACAGAACATAAATAAATAAGAAGAGGGTCATAGGAATGTTCAGACGATGCAGGCCTGGAAATCAGTCACCTGTTCATAGCTTCAGGGCACAGCAACTAGGACTCTGGATCCTTCTATATAAATCCTAACATGACAAATGTAACATAGTATTATGTTTCCAAGAAAAGAGGGTCTTTTTTCTTGTACAGGGTATCCAAGTCTCAATTCTGAGGTGGAGATGATTTTTAAGGAGGAGTCTCCCAGGCAGAGGGTGTAAACTTATGACTGGCAAGCTATATCTGGCACAAAAACAAGTTCTTTGAGTCCATGGTGTTATACAAAATTTTTAGTTAAATGCCAACATTCAAATTCTAGGGTATTTCACATAAAAATCTTGACACTCTGCTTTTCTTTACGATTTGGGAAATTTGGTAATTCTTATTTGGAGTTGAGTACAGTCCTCCTCCAAATGGGGCAGGTGCTCCCCAACCACAGTTTGACATAATCCCCACCAGTTCTTCTTTACATATTTTTAAAATGTGCACCTTTTTTCAAACGTGAACAAATGTACGTTATAGGTTGGTGGATGGTGCTGAGCTCCAAATGCTTGGTTTAATTTCACTTAGTCTAATCTGCCTTTGAGTTTTTCAATACTCATAAACCCTGTGGAGCTCTGATGACCATCAGAAGACACCAGGTTTAGTGTATTTATAGGTTTGTTTTAGAAAAGCTACTTTAGAGTATAAACAAGACATAGGAATAAAAGCCATGAATGGAACCTGTGCCCATGAATATAAATGTATTAGTCTTTATTTGAAGACTTTCTTCTCTTCCTATCTCTCAGAGACTGTGTCTCTGTGCATGTATGCATGTGTGTGTGTATGTGTGTTGGGGGTGGGGTAAAGTTGTACAGACCTGTATGGATTCTGCGGTGGGCTTTCAGGTGAGAGCTTTTGGTATATACTTTGCTGCATCCTGCAAAGTCACATTGGTGGATCCGTCTTCTCTTCAAGTCAAGGGACTCTTCTCCCTGCATCTGAGTCATTGCTGCTGATCTGAGAAAATGAGAAAGGGAGGGAGGGAAGGAGGGAGAGAGAGAAGTAAGGCCAAAGATTTATTTTAAAGTAAAGGCTAAATAAATAGACATACATACAGTAGGGCCACCTCATACATGCACTTAATTTATGCAAATTTAACACTAGGTCCTTAAAAGAAGAAATAATTGAAAGAGTACAGGCATTTCTCTCAACTAGCCCATTCTGCTCAGTTAGTACAGGTTCCAGGAGGAGGCAATGTTTCTTCGGGTAGTTTCTGTTCCCAAATAGTGTGAGCATTTTACTCTGATAAGTCTCATTCTTGTGTTTAAAGAAATGTATTTTTCATACAACATGGTTGCTAAAAAATACAATTAAAATAATTTAAAAATAAAATTGCAGAGACAAATATCAAAAAATAAAACACAAGCCAACTACTTTATTAGTTTCAACACTGGAAGACAACGCTGCTTCAAATTTACAGAAAAAACAGTACACAACTATACAGGAAATTTGGAGATTTTCAAGGATAAAACTGATGATCTATAACTAGAATATAACTCTGCCATAATATTCCTGTCTATATACATGTATGCACACAAATTCATAACTTTGCTAGGAAGCCAGTTTCCTGGCATTCTGTTGTCCTTAAATTCTTACTATTGTACTTGAGAATTTCTTCTACCACAGACATACACATATATAGACAGAAAGGGACTTGAAGACGAAAGTACTCACTCTTGCTGTAGTCCCTGTAAGGCCAAGGATCCACTCTCATTTGCACTTTCTTCACTATCACTTGGGATTTCCAGTGGAGACATGGAAGTGGGGTCAACTTTCACTAAAAGCAAAGAAAAGGAGAAATGTAGGCTACAAATATATGTTGCCTGTGTTAACATTTTCAGGATTCCCACTTTGGCTCACAGTGAGAAGTAGTAGAAATAGAAATAAAGAAAAGGCAAAGATGAAAGAAGTATATTTGTATAAAAAGAAGAGAAGAATAGTTAAAGTGTTTAGCATAGCTGAAAACACAGATTCCCTTGAGGGAAAGATAGAGATAGCAAAGAGCATTTTTGTACCACTAGAATAAGCTTCTCTAAGATAGAAAATGAGATAGGATAGTGTGTTTCTCTAGGATAAGATCTGGTTATGATTCAACTCTGTACCTCTAACTTCCAGAATGGGGCATACCTGACCAGGTTCAATGTGTGTTATTGAATCAAGCTCTCTGAACAGTTTCCTGGCTATCCTAACATAAATGACTAGTCTCACCCCAGAGGTAGGAACATATCCTTTGGCTTTTGCGCTCCTAAATGAAAACAAGCCAATTGGATGAAACACATATCTGGTACCTAGTAGGTATTTGATACATGTTATATCCCTACTTTCTCCCTATGTTGGGAGAAGCCTTCAAATATCTCTTATTATCAATTGGTTACATTTATGACACCTAACAAAACTCAATCCTGTGGTCAGCAGTCTCCTAGATCTAGTAAAGGTTTCAAGACATCTACATAGAAGAAACTTGAATGTAGTAAAAAGGTTGAATGGGAAGGACCTGGCTAGTGCAGTCATCTCCATAAGTTGATTGTGCATCATTCACTAAAAAAAAAATTAAGCATGCATCTCAATATACGTGTGTCTGCTTGTGTGTATATGATATAGATGTACTAGTATATTAAAGTTTTTATACATTATACAAATAAACATATAAGGAGCAAGAAACTACAAATATGAATTTTGATACTTTCTTCTTATACTCCAGTTGCTTTGTGTACCTCCCTCACCCAAGGAGTAAGCATACCATTTTGAAGACCACTGGGCTAATGGCCTTAGCTTAGTTTGAAACTACATAAAACACTTTTAAAATGTATCATTTATTTACAGTGGCTCTGGTGGACTGATAGATACTATGGGGGAATTCAAAGCATCTTCTCTTGGTGCTACCACTGTCTTGATATCAGTAAATCCTCACACAGGGAATTTTATTTTCCTATTTCTTTTTCTGTTTGGCTCTCTCTCCTTATACAGGAATTGATAACCATATTTTAACCTCCTCGAGAGATCTCAAAAACAAGATTGTTATGAATACTTATCATTACCAAAATTGACCCCTAGTCAATGATGGCATTCTCATTCAAAAGAGAAGAATCTAAGTAACTTGATAGTTAGTATGTTGCTTTTCAGTGTCATACATTTGGTGATGGAATGATCACAAGGTACTAAAGTTCAAAGGTCAAAAACTCTTAGGAAGTTCATATATATAAACATGATAAATCTCTTCCAGTCCCTCCAGTGCCTTCCTTTCTGAGATCTACCAGACTGTTCCATGTGTCCATGCCTCTGGTCTTATTTTATTCATCAGTTTATTTGTTCATTAGATTCCATATATAAGTGAGATCACATGGCATTTGTCTTTCAGGTATATATATCTATATCTATCTATATCTATATCTATATAATGTGAAATCTGGTTCCAAGTCATTTCCACCCTCATCTCTCTCCTTTGGTCTTTGTAGTTCATGCTAAACCTTTTTCAGCTCCTCATTGACATGAATTTGAGTCCTCAAACCATCCTAATTTCTCTCCTCTAATTATACTCCAATTTCTCAACATCCTTCCCAAGGCATAACATCCAAAACTGATTGGAATGCTACAGATATGGTGAAGCAAAATATCTTGAAACACTTCAAGAAGCCATATGTTTTTCTTTGATCATTCCCAATGACAAACTAAAGAGGACATAGTTCCACCTGGGAGCTGAGTGGTCGGGGGATAGTGGTAAAAGGGAGACTTACTTTATACCTTTCTGAATTCTGAACTTATTTAAAAATTAAACAAAAGGGAAAATCAAGCATATGAACTCTTGCCTGGACAACATTTTCAAGTTTGTTCACCAAATTATTTGTTGCAAGACAACTACTATCTACCATTGTGTTAGGTTCTCTGGATATGCACAAAGAGAAATAAGATACAGTCTTGTCCTTGAGGACTTTACAATTCAATTAGGAAGATGCGCATATATTTGTGATACAGGTGAGTAAAAAAGTAAACTGGAGGGTGATAGATGCTAAATGAAGAGTAACACAGGGGAAACAGCAATATTTCAAAGACTTTTCCCTGCAGGGAAGAAAAAAGGTACATTGTTGGGAAAGGCAGGAGCTAAGTCTGGCTAAATATATTAGGCTAGAAGCATTCTCAACTTGTCCACCAAAGCATTCTAATGGCATAGAAGAATAAAAGAATAAAAACACTTTCCTTGAAAATCCCAAGCCTCAGTAAGCTTAAAACTATTTTTGAAGTTTGTGTTTTATCTTAAAATGTAATTCAAATTTTACATTTTTCTCTTTAATGAAAACATATTTTAAAATATAAAATATTTTAAATTACTTACTCTCAAATAACATATAGATTCCAGGAAGATACACAGTATTTCACTCAAGAATATGCATATCACAGTTTGAGAAGCATGGGCTAAACAAAAGGGTGCCACTATATATTCTTAAACATTGAAAAGACATGATAAATCCCTTCCAGTTCCCCCTAGCCCTCTCCCCTCTGAGATCTGTCAGACTGTTCCATATATCCATGACTCTGGTCCTATTTTGTTCACCAGTTTATTTGTTCATTAGATTCCACATATAAATGAGATCATATGGTATTTTTCTTTCTCTGACTGGATTATTTCACTTAGCATAATAGTGTCCAGGTTCATCCATGCTTTTGCAAATAATTGTGGTGAAGGCTGGGGTGAGCTGGGTGGAGGAGGATAAAGGGGAGAACATGGGGGACATCTGTAATGGTGTCAAAAATAAAAAAGTAAAATGAACGAGCAAAACGGAAACAGAAAAAAAGAAAAGATAATAAAAAACAGTGTTTATGAAAGATTATGCTTGAAGTTGTATGTAAGAATAACTGAAAGGGATGAAAAGAGATAGGAGACAGAACAACTCAAAAAGGGAATAGATGAATGAAGGTGAAGCCCAGAAAAGGGGCACAACGATGCTCACCTGATCCAGCATTTTTGCCATCTCCTCCAATGAGTGGCACTGTAATGGCTGCAGGGCTCCCATCTGCAGGCAAAGTAGTATACACCATAGGCAGCGACTGCACCACTACTGGGATGGTTTTCAGGCCACCCATTTTATTTGGCAGACTGACTGAGGGGATGGTGTGAATCACATGCAAAATCTGCTGGCCACAGGCGCCCTGAGAGGAGGCCAGAATGGAGCCTGGGGTCAGAACGGTAGGGATGTTTGCTAAAGTGCCTGTGTCAGATGTCGAAGTGGACACTACAGGAGTCTGAGGAGCAGGCTGTGGCTTGGGAGGACGTACTGGAGCTTGCAGCATGCTGGCAGGCTGGAGAGGAGCCTTGGGCTTGTGAAAGGAGAGGTCTACTGGTTCCACCTGGGGCATGTTGAAATCATTAGCCAGAAGTTCTTCTGGGGGCTCAATCTTGATGTCACTAAACAGTGCTGGGTTCTCCATAGGGTTGGCAGCCAGAATTGGTAGAGATGTCATGTTACCTCTGTCTGCTGTCTTTGGGGGATCTCTGATCTGAACAGAGCCAGCGACCTAAAATAAATTAATAAACAAATGAGAGATACAAAACAGTCAGTGCTAGTGCCTTGAAAAAGAGACATATAAGTAATGAAAGGAAGAAATCTCCACTCTCTTCTCATGGACAGAATATATACAGAGTTGAAACAAATGAAGCAAGAGTACACTAAAGAGGGAAAAGGAAGAAAAACTTTACTGAGCATCAGAACTAAGCACTGTATTGGGCAGCTGGCATAAACTGTTTTGTTTGATCTTTGCAATAATTCTGCAGCATTAATTCCAATCAAAACTTCCTATGTTTTGTATCCACTATAAATGTATCCACTATACATTTATACGGTGGATCCTATGTATCCACTATAAATATTGTGCTAAGCCCAGTGAGGGCGCAAATGAATAAGGTATAGCCACAAAGTGCATACTAATATAATAATATAATTATGTGAGTAGTCCATAAATCATAACATAATAAGTGATGCAGCAGACATATAAGAGAGGTGTTTTAGAATAATAAAATTGGATGATTCACTCTGTCTAGGGTCACGGAAGACTTCAAGAAGGAAATGAATTTTAGATTGGTCTTAGAGAAATGATGGGAGGTCTCTAGGCAGAGAATGGGTAAGAAAGACATTCTGTCTGCAGAGACTTAACAACAGACGATATGCTTAGGAAATATTGATGCAGTACACTCAGCTGTATTTTTAATCATTTTTACTGTTATTCTATTATAGTTTTCTCAATTTTTCCCCATTTTCCCTCCTCCAACCATCCGACCTCTCCACTCCTACAGTCAATTTTCACACTGTTGTCCATGTCCATGGGTCATTCATAGATATTTTTTGTCTAGTCCCTTCCCCTTCTTTCCAACACTGTCCCCACAGTAAATATAAGGATTATAAGAAAATACTATGAACAATTATATGGCAACAAATTAACAATCTGGAAGAAATGGATGAATTCCTAGGAACTGCACCAGTCTGCATTCCCACCAACAGTTGCCTTTTCTTCACAACCTCTCCAGCACTTGTTTGTTGATTTGCTTATGATGGCTATTCTCACCTGTGTGAAGTGGTATCTTACTGTGATTTTAATTAGCATCTCTCTGATGGCTAGTGATTCTGACCATCCTTTCATGTGTCTCTGGGCCCTCGGTATGTCCTCCTTGGAGAAGTGTCTGTTTGCCCATTTTTTAATTGGATTGTTTGTCTTCCTGGAGTGGAGTCATATGAGTTCTTTATATAATTTGGAGATCAAACCCTTGTCTGAGGTATCATTGGCAAGTATATTTTGCCATATGGTTGGTTCCCTTTTCATTTTGCTGATGTTTTCTTTGAAAAAGAAAGAAGCCGTGAAGAAGTTTTTTGTTTTGATGCAGCCCCATTTGTTTATTCTTTCCTTTATATCCCTTGCTGTAGGGGACATATTGGTGAAAATATTGCTGTGTGGAATATCTGAAATTTTCTTGCCTATGTTCTCCTCTAGGATTTTATGGTATTGTGACTTATATGTAACTCTTTTATCCATCTTGAGTTTATTTTTGTGTATGATGTAAGTTGGTGGTTGAGTTTCATTTTTTTTTTGCATAAGGATGTCCAGATTTTCCAAAACCATTTGTTGAAGAGGCTACTTTCACTCCATTTTATACTTCTCCCCCTGTGTCAAATATTAATTGACCATAGAGATATGGGTTTATTTCTGGGCTCTCTATTCTGTTCCATTGATCTATGTGTCTATTCTTATGCCAGTGCCAGACTGTTTTGATTATAGTACCCTCATAATATAGTTTGATATCAGGTATTGTGACCCCTCTCAAAATTCCTGATGCTATTCAGGGTCATTTACGGTTCCATATAAATTTTTGAAATGTTTCTTCTATATCTATGAAATATGTCTTTGGTATTTGAAAAGGGATTGCATTGAATCTATAAATTGTTCTGGGTAGTATGGACACTTTGGTGATGTTGATTCTTCCAAACTATGAACAAGGTATATACTTCCATTTATTTGTGTCTTCCTTAATGTCTTTCTTCAGTGCTTTATAGTTTTCTGAGTTCAGTTCTTTTACCGGCTTCATTGGATTTATTCCTAGGTACTTTATTTTTCTTGCTGCTACAGGAAATGGGATTTTTTTCCTGATTTCTGTTTCTGATATTTCATTGCTGGTGTACAAAAATGCCTTTGATTTCTGAATATTGATTTTGATATTGTTTTAATTTTCTTAAATTTGAGACATGTTTTGTGGTCTGTACTGTATATTATTCCTGGTGTACTTAAAAAGAATGTGTCTACTGTTTCAGAGTGAAACATTCAAAAATTACCTATTCCATGCATCTTATCCAATATGTGATATAAGGTCATTGTTTCATTGTTGATTTTCAATATGGATGATCTATCCATTGATGTAAATGGAATGTTAAAGCCCTCTACTATTATTATAATACTTTCACTCCCCCTTTATATCTATCAATATATGTTTGAAATATTTAGGTGCTTCTACATCAGGTACATAGATGTTTACAAGAGTTATATCCTCTTGTTGGATTGATCCCTTTATCATTATATGATGCCCTTCTTTGTCTATTGTGATAGCCTTTACTTTCAAGTCTATTTTGTCTGATAGATGTATTACTTCCCCAGGTTTATTTTCATTTTCTTTTGAATGAAATATATTTTTCCATCCTTTTACCTGATAAAGAGGCACAAAGAGGACAAACACATGGAGACACAGAGAAGAAAGTGATGTGAAGGCACAGGCAGATATTGGAGTTCTCATGCCACATGTCAAAGAACAACTGCATCCACCAGTAGTTGGAAGAGTGAAGGAACAGATTCATCCCCAGAGCCTCCAGAGAGTTTATGGAATTAACACCTTGATTTTGGACTTATCCTCTAAAACTGTAAGATAATAGAGTTCAGTTGTTTTAAGCTACTCAAGTTGTCGTAATTTGTTGCAGTAGCCCTAGGGAAATAATACCGCACACCAAACCCTAATTCTCCACATTGCTTAAGACAAAACTATATAGGTATTTTTTATTTTTATGTGAGCTAATTTTTAAAAAGTAGACAACTAATATTGATAAGGACATGGCAAAAATTGTGAAAGTGATACTTAACTAATTAAAGTTTGGGAAACATAGAATACCACTGTGAGAAAAGAAGAAATATTTACATGAAACAGTTGACAATTAGAGAACATGTAATAAGCACAGCCACTGAGTGACTGATACAGATAATTAAGCATTACAGGAGCTCAAGTATACTAGAGATTAGTGAGAGTCGGCACTATAAGTGAATATTTTATGGAAGGAATGAAATTGGAATTTGGACTCTAAGGAAAGTGTGGAATTTGGTAAATTAGACAGACTGAAGTGCAAGTCGGGCAGAAAGAACAGCATGGGAAAAGGTATCACTAAGAACCTTTTAGAAATGAATGACCCAAGTATTTAATATTACAGCGATATTGTTAATTTTCTTGGTTGTAATAGTATTGGTATAGTTATGTAGGAGAAAGTCATCAGTTGTAGGTGATGCATGCTGAATTATTTAGGGGTGAATTTCTTGATGCAAATTACTTTTAAAAGTAAGGAATGAAAGACAGAAGGGGAGAGAGAAAGTGAGACTCTAAAAATATATATCAAAATATATATTAAGAATAATACACTGGAAGGGGGAAGACATATGTAGTAAAACATGAACCCTAAAACTGCTGATACACTTGGTCCAAAAAAACTGTACTTTCAGGATATAATCAGAAACTAGGAACAAAGGGCAGATGACAACCAAGTGCTCACTCGTTGTATGGTATGGTGATGTAAGAATTTAAAGAAGGGGGAGCAGCATATTTGTACTGAGCTAGAGAGCCACCCAACAATCCAACCCCATGATGTAAACAAACCATATGGACCAAACCAGGAAGCTTCTGGTCAGTAGGATGTTATCAGCATTGTATTGCTATAGAATACACGCTATGGGTCTTTGTCCCCTGGAACATGGCCAGTGTTCTGTGGCCACATACCACAAGCACCTTTGCTTTACTAAAACCAAAGTATCTTGGAAATGGCAAGAAACAAAAAAAACAATTGCTTACGTCATCTACTATCTAGAATTTCTACATGTTGAACCAATTTCAAAGTGTTTCAAATTCTGGAAACTTAGTAAATGTAAACAACACATCAAAAAACAGTTTGGAACTGTATATAGGTATATAGAGATTTAAAAATAAGGTAGCTATGCATACTTGACATTACACCGAGTATTTTTATTTTTAAATACATTATATTGGTTATGCTATTACAGCTGCTACATTTTTCTCCCCTTTATTCCCCTCAATCCTGCACCCCCTCCCAGTAGCGTTCGCCCAACCCCTTATAGTTCATGTTCATGGGTCATACATATGAGTTCTTTGGCCTCTTCATTTCTTATACCATTCTTAACCTCCCCCTGTCTATTTTGTACCTACCATTTATGCTTCTTATTCCCTGTAGCTTTTCTCCCATTTCCCCCCTCCCCCTCCCTGCTGATAACCCTCCATGTGATCTCCATTTCTGTGAATCTGTTCCTGTTCTAGTTGTTTGATTTTTTTTAGGTTAAGTTGTTGATATTTGTGAGCTTGTTGTCATTTTACTGTGCTTAGTTTTGATCATCTTTTTTTTTTCTGAGACAAGTCCCTTTAACATTTCATATAATAAAGACTTGGTGATGATGAACTCCTTTAACTTGACCTCATCTGAGAAGCACTTTATCTGCCCTTTCATTCTAAATGATAGCTTTGCTGGACAGAGTAATCTTGGATGTAGATCTTTGCCTTTCATAACTTCAAATACCTCTTTCCAGCCCCTTCTTGCCTGCAAGGTTTCTTTTGATGAATCAGCTGATAGTCTTATGGGAACTCCTTGGTAGGTAACTGTCTTCTTTGGTCTTGCTGCTTTTCGGATTCTCTCATCTTTCATCATGGGTAATGTAAATTATGATGTGCCTTGGTGTGTGCTTTATTGGGTCTAACTTTTTGGGAACTCTCTGAGCTTCCTGGACTTCCTGTAAGTCTATTTCCTTTGCCAGATTAGGGAAGTTCTCCTTCATTGTTTTTATTTTTAACAAATAAGTTTTCAATTTCTTGCTTTTCCTCTTCTCCTTCTGGTATTCCTATGATTTGGATGTTTGAGCATTTAAAGTTGTCCTGAGAAGCCCTGCCTGGGTAGCTCAGTTACTTAGAGCATTGTCCTGATATGCTAAGGTTGCAGGTTCGATCCCCAGTCAGGGCACATATCAGAATCAATCAATGAATGTCTCTCTCTTCCTTCCTCTCTCCTCTAAAATTAATAAATAAATAATTTTAAAAATAATGAACAAATAACATTGTTCTGGAGGTTCATAAGCCTCTCTTCATTTTTTTTGAATTCTTGCTTCTTTATTCTGTTCCCATTGAATATTTATTTCTTCTTTCTGTTCCAAATCATTGATTTGAGTTCCAGTTTCCTTCCCTTCACTGTTGGTTCCCTGTGTAATTTTCATTTCACTTTATGTTGCTTTCACTTTTTCTTCTATTTTGCAACCATACTCAACCATTTCTGTGAGCATCATGATTACCAGTGTTTTGAACTCTACATCTGATAGGTTAGTGATCTCTTCATTGCTTACTTGTTTTTCTATAGTTGTGATCCATTTTCTCATTTGGGCCATATTTCTTTGTCTCAGCACACCTGTTCCATTGTAAGGGGCAGAGCTTTAGGTATTCGCCAGGGTGGGGCAACTCAGATTGCTGTGTTGTGATGCTGTATGTGGAGGAGGGGTCAGAAAGGGAACAATGTGACTTTCTCAACTCTCTGCAGGCATTCAGTCACTTTCCCTGCTACCTACAAGCAATATGGGCCCTTCTGGTGCTGGTTCCCAGGTGGGTGAGCTTGTGCATGTTTTAGGACCCCATGGGCATCTCCCACAAACTCCCCTATGAGGCTGGGAGTTTCTCCCACCTGCACAACCCCACAGGATTCTACAGTCGGAGGTTTTGAGGCTTTTTTCCCCCCATGCTGGAACCCTGGGTTGCATGGTCTGTATTGTTCCCCAGTTGTTCATCCTGGTTTATCCACATTCAAATGTGGGACTTTCAGCCACTGCCTCAGTTGCTATCAATGATCCTTTCATTGGCCTCAACTATATGGTCTACATGTTCCAGTATGATTCTACTCTTGGCAAGTTCAAGGACACAGTCAAGGCTGAGAACAGGAAGCTTGCCATCAATGGAAAGTCCATCTCCAAATTCCAGGAGTGAGATCCCTCCAAGAGCAAATGGGGAGATGCTGTTGCTGACTGTTGTGGTGTTTTCACTGCCTTGGAAGAAGATTGAGGCTCACTTGAAGGGTGGAGCCAGGAGGGTCATCATCTATGGCCCTTCTGTGGACGCCCCCATGTTTGTGATGGGTGTGAACCATGACAAGTATGACAGCTCCACGAAGATTGTCAGCAATGCCTCCTGCACCACCAAATACTTGATCATTCCATGGCCAATGTCATTCATGACAACTTTGGCATCATGGAGGGACTCGTGACCACAGTCCATGCCATCACTGCCACCCAGAACACCATCCCTGCTTCTATTGGCACTGCCAAAGCTGTGGGTCTGGTCATCCTTGAGCTGAATGGGAAGCTCACTGGTATGGCCTTCTGTGTCCCCACACCCAATGAGTTGGTTGTGAATATGACCTGTCACCTGGAGAAAGCTGCCAAATACAGTGACATCAAGAAGGTAGTGAAGCAGGCAGCAGAGGGCTCTGTCAAGGGCATCCTGGGCTGTACTGAGGACCAGGCTATCTCCTGTGACTTTAACAGTGACACCCACTCCTGCACCTTCAATGACGAGGCTGGCATTGCCCTCACAGACCACTTTGTCAAACTCATTTTTTTTGTATGACAATGAATTTGTCTACAGCAACAGGGTGGTAGACCTTGTGGTCCATGTGGTCTCCAAGGAGTAAGAGCCCCTGGACCATCAGCCCCAGAAACAGGAAAGAGAGACACTCAGCTGCTGGGAAGCCCTCACCCCAAATCAATCTCCCAACACACTGAGAATATTTTGACCTCCAGTTTCCATCCTAGACCCCCTGAAGAGAGGAGGGGCTTAGGGAGCCCTACCTTGTCAGGCACCATCAATAACATTTACTGTACCCCCGGAAATGAATACTTATCTGTGATGGTTAATTTTACATGTCAACTTGGCTGGGCCACAGTGCCAAGATATTTGATCAAATGTCATTCTGAGTGTTTCAGCGAAGGTATATTTTGGGGTAACATTAATATTTAAAGCAGCAGACTTTGAGTAAAGCATATCACGCTTCATAATATGGGTTGGCTTCATCCAATCATTTGAGGGTCTTAATAAATAAAGATTGACCTCCTTTAAGCAAGAAAGAATTCTTCCAGCAGACTGCCCTTGAATAGAAACTGCAACTTTGCTTTGGCTCTCCAGCTTACCCATTATATATTTTTTAAAGATTTTATTTATTTTTAGAGAGGGGGAGGGAGGACTAAGAGAGGGAGAAAAACATTGATGTACAAGAGAAACATCAATTAGTTGCCACTCACATGCCACTACCCAGGAACCTGGCCCACAACCCAGGCATGTGTCCTGACCAGGAATCAGACAGGCAAACTTTTTGGTTCACAGGAGGATGCTCTGTGAGCTGAGCCACATCAATCAAGCCCTACCAATTAGATTTGGGGTTTACCAGGATTCTATAGCCATGTGAGCCAATTCCTTAAAATGTGTCTTTTCCCCTTCAGGTTAATATGCAATAGATGATAGATGATAGGTTGATGATAGAAAGATAGATAGAATTTTGTTTTAAATATACAGATATACATCTATAGCTCTCTCTCTCTCTCTATCAAGACAGGGAAATATTGATATATACACATTCTGTTGGTTCTGCTTTTTAAGAACCTTGACAAATACACTATCCAACAGAGTTATTATGAATATTAAATAGGGCAATGCATTTAATCTTCAGCGTGCCTGAAATATGAAATAGTGCCAAATAAACGGTTGCTGTTCTATACCAAGCCCATATTGACCTGATCCAAGAGGTTGTTTCTTTTAGGCCACATCTACTATTTGAATCTAAAACCCAAGCATTCATGTGCTTTTTGGAAACCTCCCTTTCTTCACCCTTTCTCAGTCCTCAACATGTTGTTAGAAAAAAAAATGATCTTCAGCTCAATAATGATTATAAGGTACTCAATACTATTATGGTACAATATTAGTATCTCTTTTTCCTCATAACTGACCTGTTTGAATACATGCATGGAGCCACCTTCTGAATTAAGTTGGGCCTCCAAGTTGTTCATGAGTTGATCCATATCTGGAAAAAAGACAAGAGAAAGACAATTTTAAAATAAGATCTACCCACTATTCGCACATACAATATGCCATTTATCCTAGGTTACACTTGTTTGTGCTTTTACTTTTTTAAGATTTTATTTTTTTATTTTTAGAGAGAAGAGAAGGGAGAGAGGAAGAGAGGGAGAGAATCATCAGTGTGTGGCTGCTTCCCACGCACCCCCTACTGGAGACCAGGCCCACAACCCAAGCATGTGCCCTGATGGGGAATCGAACTGTGACCCTTTGGTTCACAGGCCAGTGTTCAATCCACCGAGCCACACCAGCCAGGGCTACTTGGGATTTTATGAACATTATTTCTCATGACTTACTAGACACTGAGAAGTCAGTATTTTGATGACATTCTAATTTATATATTCTGATCATCAAGATAGCCCTGGCTTATCCCCAGTAATATAAGCTACCCTCTCCCCTCAAATTCTATGTGCACGTTAATCTATTTCTTCCAACCTCTCCAACCCACCCTATGTGTCAACATAGCTACATAGTTTCCAGAAAGCTCCCCTTCCTGGCCTAGCTCTCATTCTAGGAAATCCTGTGCTACTTTATGTGTATTCGCCCTAATGAACTTGCTTATGCATCAGCATCGGTTCTCTCTAAAGAAATATTTGTCTCCCTCTCTTAAACATACAAGCCAGGTAGAGTTGATATAAGCAGTCTTTTATTTTCTTGTTAGACATCTTTTCCTCCTATGGAAAAAAGACATTTGGTGGCCTAATTCAGCTGCCTTGAATCATCACAATCATTCCCACAAGAAGCACATACCAGCATCTCTTTAACCAGATCTCCTTTGCTCTTTTTACAGTCTAAAAGAGGAAAACACAAGGCAAGGAAGATAAATCCAAGCTTGCTTATGATTTAATTGTTCAGATTTCAGATCATGCTAAATGTCTCCAAGTCAATCACAATTAGTTTCCTCATTTATGACCTAGATGCATTTCAAAACATTGTCCATAAATCAATTAACTGCTTTAGACATCAAATACATTTACTTATATAAATGTTCATTTAAAAGTCACTTCACAATAGCCATTTAAGACCTAATGCATTTAATATACAACAAATGCACAATTAGCAGGAATATATAATTATAACGTGGCCACAAAAAAATAAAAGATAATCCTAAAAAATTCCTTTATTTATTGAAATTCAGAAATGGAGGAAACCTGTCTTATTTTTTAAGAAAATATTTTGTTTATTTATTTACTTTTAGAGGCGGTAAGGGAGAAAGAGACAGAGAAACATCAATGTGTGGTTGCATCCCTTGTGCCCCTTACCAGGGACCTGGTCTGTAACCCAGGATATGTCCTAAACTGGGAATCCAACCACTGACCCTTTGGTTTGCAGGCTAGAGCTCAATCACTGAGCCACACCAGCCATAGTGATCAGTCTTAATTAAATGGCAATAACACAATGAATTTTCCACTGAGATTATAAGAAAAACTCTGGACACTATCAAGAGTTTGGAGAATTTTAATAATTTGAAATATCTCCAATTTTATCTCAAGGTGCATATATTTTCTTTTCTTTGTTCAAAGCATATGAGTAGAACTGCTTACATACACATCCATCATTAACTATATCTTTATTGCCAGAATGTCAAGATGGCAGAGAAGTAAGCTCAAGCCACACTAACCTCCTCCCAGGACCAATCTGTAATTACAACTACATTGTGGAGAAATCACTCAGAACAAACAACTGAACAATAGTGAGAGAGAAGTCTCATAACCTCGGGCAGACAGAAGAATCATCTTCAGCATAAACTGGTAAGGAGACTGGTGGGGACTTGAGAAGGCTGGCTAGTTGTCCACAGACAGCAGTGCCAGATAGATAGTTAAGCAACTGGTTGGATCTCCCTGAGAAGTCTGGGGTCTAAACACTAACCTGGGATCCCCAGATTAGAGCCCCACAGCCCAAAAAGTACAGAGATAACAACTAGTGGCAAAAGTGGCAGGGTTGTTCTCTGCCAGAGATGGATGGCTAGAGATGCAAAGACCATTTAAAGATCCAACACAAAAATTTTCATTTGCAGCCATTTAACCAGGGCTCCAACAAATGCAGGGGCAGAGTGGGACAGAGACACCTGAGGAGAGACTGAGAATGGAAGCTTTGGAGAGAGAACTGAGATGGTAGCTAGCAGGATCCTGGTGCTGAGTCATCACCCCTATGGCAGCAGCCACCCTGCCCAGGCAGACCAATCCCCTCCAAGCAGAGCAGCTTGAGGAGAAGCAATAGCCCCAACACTAGGAGATACTCTGCCCCTCCCTATGTGGCTTGAGCCTACTGCTGAGTGCAGAGTGATTAGAACAACAACTGAATGAGAGAGCCACAAACAGTAGATCCCATGCAGTCTTGGAGCAGGCTGCCTAAGGTGAAACAGGGTCAACTTCTCACACCACTGGAGGCAGATCCAGAAAGAAAAAACACTGGTAAATACTAGAGGCTACACAGGTGAAATCCACTGTGGTCTTCCCCTTGATTACTGATATTTTCTTCCCTGCATAGCTTTTCAACATTCATTTCTTATCAAGCAAGTTTGTGCATATTGTCACCATATTTTATATTATAGTTTATTTCTCTCCTTTCTTATAATAGTCTTAATCTCCCTATACCCTTATTAATACTGGTTCATTTGCTGTTGATAGTGGGATTGCCAGGGTGAGATTTTTTTGCAGGGGTGGATTTGTTCCCTGGGCTTTGTGGATTTGTTCAGGCAGCACCTGCACAACAGCATACCAGACAGGCTAGGAGGAATGACCCTCAGTCAACCAGCTGGAGGGAATGACCCATCAAACAACAACCCAACAACAATCAAAGCCAAATTACATCCAGAGACTCAACATAAACAGATAAAGAGCATCCCAAGAGCATCAAGTTCAGGAGATCAAGGGAACTGAAACACTGAATCTCACAGGTCTCCTACCATAGAAGTGCACATCACAAACTCAGAGAGTCAAAACAGGTCAATTTAAGGAGCAGAAGCAAATAAGAAGAGTCTCACAAATAATGGCAAGACAAAGAAACAACCTCCAAATGAAAGGAAAGAAAAAATCCTCAGAAAGAGTGCTAAAAGAGATATAGGCAAGTCAACTATCAGATACTGAGTTCAAAACAACGGTTATAAGGAAGCTCAATGAGCTCAGTGACAATTACCAAAAACTACAGGGAAATTACAAGGAACTTACTGTGACTAACAGGAGCATGAAAAAAGACATAGAAACCATCAATAAGAGCCAAGAGGAAGTGAAGAATACAATTTCTGAATTGAAGAACACAGTAGAAGGAATCGAAAGCAGGTTAGAAGAACCAGAGGATCAAATCAGTGAGCTAGACAACAAGGTAAGAAAAAAAACCCAAAACAGAAAGAACAGGAAAAAAGACTCAAAAAGAATGAAGAGGGGGTTAAGAGAACTGCAGAACAACAGGAAATGTAATTACTATCCTTATAATAGGGATACCAGAAAAAGAGGAGCAGCAAGGACAAAAAACTTGTTTGAAAAAATGATGGAAAACTTTCCTAACTTATGAGAGAAAAAGTCACACAAACCCAGGGAGAAGAGAGAGTCCCAATCAAGAGGAACACAAAGAGGCCCACTCCAAGACACATCATAATTAAAATGGCAAAATTCCAAGACAAAGAGAGAATCTTAAAGATAGCAAAGGAGAAACAAGAAGTAACATACAAGAGAGCCCTGATAAGGCTAGCAGCTGACTTCTCAACAGAAACACTATAAGCCAGAAGGGAATGGCAAGAAATATTCTGAGTAATAAGAAGCAAAGGCCTGCAACCAAGACTACTCAATTACAATAGAAGATGAAATAAGGAGTTTCCCAAACAAAAGAGGGCGGAAACAATACACCTCCATCAACCAACATCACAACATATGCTAAGGGCACTGCTTTAACAAGAGGAAGAAAAAGAGTGAAAAAGAGAGAGACGGAGGGATACAGGTACAAAGGGGGCAGAATGGCAATGAATAAGTACCTATCAATAATAACCTTAAATGTAAATGGATTAAATGCTCCAATCAAAAGACATGGGATAGTTGAATGGATAAGAAAAGATGGCCCCCTGGCTGGCATAGCTCAGTGGATTGAGCGCGGGCCTGCAAACCAGAGTATCGGGGTTCGATTCCCAGTCAGGGCACATATCTGGGTTGCAGGCCAGTTCCCTGCAGGCCAGTTCCCAGCAGGGGATGCATGACAGGCAACCATACATTGATGTTTCTCTCCCACTCTTTCTCCTTCCCTTCCCCTCTCTCGAAAAATAAATAAATAAATAAAAAGAAAAGATGGCCTGCACATATGCTGCCTATAAGAGACTACAGAACAAAAGACCTACACAGACTGAAAGTGAAGGGTTGGAAAAATATTGAACAAAAAAATGAACAAGGTAAAAAGCCTGAGTAGCAATACTTACATCACACAAAATAGACTTCAAAACAAAGGCCATAAAAAGAGACACAAAAGGACACTTCATAACATTCAAGGGAAGAATCCATCATGAGGACATAAACATTGTAAACATACAGGTACCAAACATAGCACCCAAATATAATAGGAAAATCTTGAAGGACTTCAACAAAGGTATAGAGAGCAACACACTTATACTAGGAATTTTAACACCCCACTGTCAAAATAGATAGATCTTCCGAACAAAATATCAACAAGGACATCGTGGCATTGAACAATGCCTAGATCAAATGGACTCAACTGATATATATCTCCTTTCATCCTAAAGAAAAAAATGCGCATGGAATATTTTCAAAGAAAGACAACATGATAGGACACAAAAACAGCCTCAACAAATTCAAGAAAACTGAAATCATATCAAGCATTTTCTTGGACCACAGGGCCTGAACAAACCTCAAAGAAAAAACCCTAAAACACTCAAATTCATGGAGATGGAATGGCATGCTATAAACAATAAATGGGTTAATAATGAGATCAAGGAAGAAATCA